TTTATATTAAAATTTATTGTTTGCATTTTTACTAGAATTATAGGACAACCCTATTCAAATTATGATTTATATCAAAATTTATCTTGTTTTTTTTTCGCTGAATTATTGGACAGGCTTTTTTTGAATTATTAGTAATCATTTACATACGTGTTTATCGTTTCCTTTTTTACCAGATTTATAGAGCACTCTTTTTCCAGTATTTTGATTTAGACTTAATCGATATATTTGTAGGTTTTGTGTGCTTGAAGGAACATGTCAAGACGCAATACATGATCAAGTCCTTTCTTTATTATATATTTATATAATTAAGTACGTATTTTTCGCGAGATTTGGATGTTATTAAACTTGTGATTCTTTCTTTCCGTTAACAAAGTAAATATTTAAAAGTACCGGCTCGAACATGCACCGCATAGGAGCCTTAAAAAAAGATATATATGGAAAAAGTCATAGAAGTTGTTGAGCTTTTTCCCAGAATTTTTGTATCTCCCATTATGCGAGAAAATTTTCTTTTTTTCCTTTTATCTTTAATTGATAGTAAAGAATTCTTCAGTTTAAATTATTTCAAACTGGAAGAAATCAATCGTCTACTCTAAATATAAAATAGCAAATGAAAAAGCTTGTTGTGAAATCTACTGTGTATATAAAGGCAACAATGAATGAGGAAGTTCGATAATTAATAGTAGAATATTTGTATGCATCGTCTCGATCATTTAACACGACTTGATAGTAGCTTTTGTTACGTGTATTTAAAACGACATCATTAAAAAGAGCTTTGGCTAATGTACAAGTTATAAATATCTATTTCGTTCACAGTTGAATAAATATAGACATTGAAAATATTAAGCTATCTGATTAAACTATATTGAACATAGATAAAGTTTTCTTTCTTTGAACTTTTTAGATTCATTGCAACTCTTCCAATTCTATTCCACTATGACTAATACAACGACAACAGCTACACAACTGATCGAATCTCTGTTTGCTGCTTATTATCCATTATCGTTGATTATTGTTGGCACTTCTTTGAATCTATTCACATTAATCATTCTTTGTCGACCCACATTCAGAAATACAAAAAAACAACCGATCATTTATTATATGCGTACAATAGCTATTTTTGATATTCTCATGTTATATGGATGGAATTTAGACCATTATCTTTCTATTATACATGGATTTACACTTATAACATATTCAATACCAACATGTAAAATTTTTGGTTTCTTGAATTATTTTGCTGCACAATCATCAGCTTGGCTTCGTGTTTTCATTTGTTTTGATCGTTATTTAATAACAAGTCGTTTACATCGTACGTGGTTTAGTCGTCAAAAAAGTGTTCTCATTATTATTACTTGTATTATTACAATTACTACTTTACTTAATTGTCATTTTTTAATATTTACTTGCTATTATTCTTCGGATGGTACAATCAATCCTAATGCTAAATTATATGAAATATATCCACTATGGGATTATGTCAATTTAGGTGTATACAACTGTGCACCATTCATATTGATGGTCACATTCAATAGTGGTGTTATCTATCATTTGATACATCGTCGTTTAGTGCAATTAATTCAAAATTCAACTATTCAATATCGAGCCATATCCATTACATTAATAATTACAACATTTCTCTTTTTAATTATGACAACACCAGCAACAATAGACGCTGCATTTTTTGCTACTACACCAACTGGTATTCTAGAAAAAATACTCGATTCAGCTCTCTATACATATCATATAACATCATTTCTACTTTATTTTATTACATTCAAAGACTTTCGACGAGAATGTATCATGTTGATGACTTGCAAGATCAATAACTCTCGGAAAATTGCACCAATTCAAACTACTAGTATTCCAACGAAGACACCAAATTAACCATGAATCGAAAATATTCTGATTATAAGACATGTACATAGCTAATTTGGATAATAAATGAACGAAGAAATTAAGTAATTTGATACTATTACTGATGCACAAATACTACGAATTACACTCAACAATTTATTTTCGGTAGTTATTGTCTTAATGATCTCATACATATGAAATATACTCTCGATACCGATATTTTTTCTAATACTGTAGTTTAACAGGAGCTACTGGAAAATATTGTAATCGTTTATTTAAAATAATTTTTGTATGAATAGTTATCACTTGTTCAATTTTGTCATCGTAAAAGTCATAATGTTAAAATCTTATTAAAAATTCTTTTTAAGAAACTTATCCATGTGTATATGTATTAGATGACTCATGCAGCATTATATTAATGACAAAAGAATACAAATATGACGCTATAGTTATAGTTGTGCGTAGAGAAAGTCGACAGATTGGTTTCTATCATAACATGCGTGTTTTTTTATACACAAAAACGAATAATTTTCTTACCTATTTCTTATCTTTTCATTGATGATATAATTGCTGTCAGTTACACATCTGTATTATGTAAAATAGTTACATACAATTAGTATTGTCTATATACATATCTCCATCTTTTTACTATACGTATTATTTTATACTCAATACCTTTTATTTAAGTAACGTATTTGAAACTAGTATTGATACTAAGAAGATATGTAGATAAATATTACCATTTGTTAATTTTAGGCATTATTGTAAAGAACAAATGGATCAAGACGAAGAAACTGCAACAAAGAGTAGCGATGTTAGAAGAAGAGGTGGTACAAAGCGTAATCTATTAATAATTTCTTTAGCTTACACTTGTGCATTCACTTCATTCGATGCCGTAACTAATTTGCAATCAAGTCTTAATTCATCTGATGATGTTGGTCTTCATTCATTGGTAGTATTTTATGGTGTTTCTATACTTGCATGTCTCTTCTTTACTACTCCACTCATGCATATTTTCGGTTACAAATGGTCAATCTTCGGTGGACAAATTGGTATGATAGGATATATTGCAGCTAGTATGTATCCTAAACAATGGTTACTATTACCTAGTAAGTAAAACAAAGATTTTGTCTAATAAATTATCGCCAATATTTCTCATTTAGTGTCAGCTATATCCGGAATTCTGCATGCATCTATGTCAACAGCTCACGATTCTTATATTACATTGTTAGCTGTTGATAAAAGTGACAATGATGAAGTTGATGAAAAAGTTACAAAATATTATAGTATTTTCCTTATTGCATATCAGTCAAGTTTGTTTTTTTTATCAAAGTTAACTAATTTAAATTTATTTTCATACTTATATTAAAAATATTAGCGCAGATTTGGGGTAATCTAGTATCGTATTTCATTTTACGAAAAACGTCATCAGCTGTTAATACTAATTTAACAGTATGTGGTGCAAATTTTATGCCAAATAATCATCAAATCATAGACGAAATTGTTCATGTGTCGAATAAAACGGTATACTAATATTTATAAACAAATATTCACTTAGAAAATTCCTCTTTAGATTTATATTCTTTTCAGTGTATTGATTGGTATTATCTTAGTATCTATGATACTTGTTATTGCTTTTCTAAGTCAAAGACGAGACATGGAAAGTAAGTTTAATTATGGAATATCTATTCTTTCATCGAACTAAAATGTTATCTATTACTTTAGAAGATCAATCGAAAAGTTTATTCCATAAATCATTGAATTACACATTATCAACCATAAAAGATATAATAACACCAAATCATCTTCTTTTGATACCACTTGGATTTTGGACTGTTGCTCCAGAAGCATTTATTATCGGTGCTTTTACAAATGTATGATTATTAAACAATAGTAGCTTAAAAGACGTAGTAAAAAAATCGATTGAGATTCTGTAGTTATTCACTTTCATCATGCGTTTTTCCGATATATGTTAATTTAAATTTTTATTTTAATAGAGCTTTATTACTTGTACAATTGGTATTCAATATGTTGGTGTGTATGAATATATTTTCGATGCAGTTTATTACTTTTTATTTCTAGGACTTATCATGACAATATATGGTGTGACAGCCTTTATCTCTTCTATAATTGTTGCCTATATAACTGAACTAAAATATAGTCGTATTATATGTTTCCTGATGGCAGCATTGTTCAGTTACACAACCTTTATAGTAATGCTTCTATGGAAACCAACAGTTTCGCAAACCTATGTGCTTTTTATTCTACCATGTTTATCAAATGTTGCAGATTCCATAACGGAACCGTATATAACAGGTTTGTTATAGAATTTTGAATATTCTATTGATAGTGACAACATCTTTGAGTTTTATTTTAGCTTTGTACAATTCCATGTTACCTGAGAAGAAAGACAACGCTTTCTCATTGCTAATACTTGTTCAAAGCGCTGGTTTTCTTATTGTTTTTCTATATTCATCTCTAGTATCTGTTCGTATATCAATTATCCTTCAAATTATTTATCTTACAATGGCTATGGTTTGTTACATAATTATTGAAATTAAACTTTACAGAACTTCAAGAAACAATACTGAGCAATAGGTTATTCGTTATCATATAGTACAAGGACCTATCAATGAAACATATTTTATTTTTTTATGAAGCTGTGTGAAATATAATTTGTTGAAAAAAAAATATTTAATTTACTAATAATATATTTTATAAAAGATATCTTAGACGTGTGTGTGTATGATGAATTGAGTAACAAATCTGTGTACCTTTATACTTTTAAAGTTTAAAAGCTTTGCACCATTTTTGATCTCTTAACCCATGACCAGAAATTATCGATCGAATTTAATAATTAATTCTTATTGCCATAAGAATAATTGAAAATTTTTAAACAAAATACATTTCTTCAGATACTCTGATGAATAATATTCCTTTCACTGTTCATGTGGACTTATATAACAGCAACTTTTACATCTCAAAACATTTTCTTATTAAAATAATATTTATTTCTTTTTAACAAAAATAAAAAATCACATTAATAGATAGATGAATAATATAATGCTTTGAATAAGTAGATGGTAGCGAAAGAGTCTTTAGTATGTACTGCGTCAAAGCTTACTATAGTTCATGCCGAGATATATAATCATACCAATACCACCGATAGTAGCAATGACGTTCAATATAGCAGTTACTATTGACAGCGACTTAGCGCTCTGCACATCATTACCTTTCTTCTTTTCCATTACGATACATGAGAAACATATGGCAATGAGGCCTAAAGGCCATAAACAACATAGACAGTTAAAAATTGACCATGCCATGAAATCATTGACGTTAGCAGCAGCTTGATTAGGCGCAAACACCATATTATTAGGCATTCGCTGCGGCTGTGCTTGATTCACTTTAGGATAACCAGCTTGAGGATAACCAACTTGAGGCTGTCCAGCTTGAGGATAACCCATTCGAGGAGGTCCAGCTTGAGGATAACCAGCTGGAGGAGGTGCGAACTGCCCGTAAGGTGTATATGCTGGTGGTGGCACATTTTGTACACCGGCGGCCATTGGATTCGCGAAACTGAAATTTGATGGAGGCGCATTCTGTGCACTAATGGCCACTGGATTCGCGGAACTGAAACTTGGTGGAGGCGCATTCTGCACACTAATGGCCACTGGATCCGCGGAACTGAAACTTGGTAGGGGCGCATTCTGGACACTAATGGCCACTGGATCCGCGAAACTGAAACTTGGTGGAGGCATGCTTTCTGTTACTGGAACATGGTTTACAATTTCTGGAGCTGTGTTTACAGCTTCCGGAATATTGCTTTCAGCTTCTAGAATATTGTCTACAACTTCTGGAGTTG